TCCTCGTAGCCCTCCTCTGGACTCTCTCCAGTAGCTCCTCATCTTGCTTGAACTGGGGAGCCCAGAACTGGACACAGTACTCCAGATGGGGCCTCACTAGGGCAGAGCAGAGGGGGAGGAGAAACTCCCTCGACCTGCCAGTCACACTCTTCTTTTTCAAAGGCTTAAAACTTGTGCAGAAGAACAAAAAGACAGTGAAACACTTATCTGTAGCACAAAGGCCAATTTTGCCTTATTTCAGCCTTGGGGTTAAAAACGCTTGCTATAATATTACAGAAGAATTCACTCAAATTTTCTGACAGAAGTAAAACCATGTGTCATCTCCCTTGCATCTTGTCCCAAATGGTAGGATAGCTCAAATCTTCTTCCTTCCCTTCTTCATAGCCTGTGGTCCTATGATCACAGCTACAGTAAAGGCAGATGTAGTATAAAATACGTTAACACTTTCCAGGAAAGTTTTTACCTTGATATCAGAAGTGTCACGCTGACTATTGCGCCACGCTCTTGAAATAGACGAAAATGTTCTATCTGCATGATCAAACTTCCCACCTTGTAGATTTAGAAAAAGTGTTGTAAAGGGTTCCTAAATATATATAAAAAGATTAATTAAAAACAGCAATGTATTTCTTCAGGAATTTCAGGGGAAAAAAGGGATTTATTATTCTTTTGGGGTTTGGTTATTAATGATGCCATTCTTCTGGCAGACACATGATTGATTGCAAAGGGTTCATTCTATTATCCAAGAATGAGAAAAACAAACCGATGCTTATTTGTTCAATAAATGCTTTTTATTCCTACTCCATGCATATCTATTCAGATAAACAAAACCAAATAAAAATGAAATAAAGTATTTACAGGCTGAAGGAGAAGCTATAGTCAGTTGTGACAAACTGCTCTTGAAAACATGAAAAAGCTCAATATCTTCACCTTAGGTATTTTTAAAATTAGCACGTAACAAAATAACACATGCATTTTATTTTGATCAAAGTAACCAATTAATATAAGGGTAGCTTTCAATACCAATAGCTTTATGATTGTTATTGTTTAATATGTAATTTATGATTTAGAAAAGAAAAATGTTTGAAAGATTAAAAGCCTCCTCTTAGTTAAAGAACACTTAAGCACATATTAGTGGATAATTGCTTGAAATTAGCTAAGCACTATAAATTACTTCAAGGATTTATGTCTGCTTGTACATTCTAACAAGCTTTAATTAATGATATGCTCCTAATGCTTTCCCAAAGAAATTACTTTCTAGGAGATAAATCGCCTTTCAATTTTATAGAAAAGTGCATTATTTAAGAGATATATTACCAATACGTAGCATCTCAAAAGTCACTTCCGTATACATTGCAGCAGATTTCAAAAAAATTAATTATTTACATCACAGAATTTCATGATCATCAGAAACCAATTCATTTACACTCATTAGGAGGTGAAAATTAAATACATTCAGTAAGAATCACAAATCTTCAGTACATGGTGCAGTCAGAAAACATGTAAAGAAGGAAAGTTAACCATGTTTCAAGTCATATAAGAATGTACACTAAAAATAAATTTTTAAGGAGAAAAAGCTTTACTGATTTGAAAAGGCTGTTCCATAAAAATTAAAACCTTCTGCTCAAACTTTGGAATACATTTATCCTACACTAGTGATTACAACTACTAGAAAATTTCTGTACTTTCCTATGCCATTGAGTTTTAGTTTATTCATTCATAGCTATTTGTTGCTTTCATTATCATTTACAGGAAAAAAAATTTAAAAGATATACTTACAATTCTTAATAACCACGTGAGTGCAAAACTTGCAGTTGAATAATGTGTGCCATAGTGAAATTTTGGAACCTGATCATCTTCCCATGATTCATATCTCTCAGAAAAGAATGCTGCTCTCTTTGGGTTCAAAGCTCCAATAGGCTACAAGGTTTGTAAAAACAAATACATTAAGTAAATAAATGTAACATGACCTATTATCGCATCATACTCCGTTTGCTCTTTTTGGTAACCAGAATTATGGGCATGCCTGGAGAATACGGGGTTTGATGTTTCGCAAAAGCAGATGTCGGATTCTGTAAGCACCTGAACAGATCTGCGTGTTTCAAAGCAGGATTCAATGCACAAGCACACAGCTGGCTGGAAAAGAAGTCTCTTCTGCATTCATATAGGCTTCATTTCTATTTACTGCTGATTCAAGTCAATGACTGAAAACCACTTCACAGTGGAACGTCTTAGACAAAGAGTTGTTAACTTATGTACCTGTGGATATGTGTGCATGTTGGATACACTATTAAGCAAATGGAAAGCAACAACGACAAACATCTTTGGATATATTGGGGTGAAAAATAGTGACCGATAGGGTGGAAGAATATTAACAGTGCATTTGGAATTTTGATATTACTATTCCTGTTTCTATGCTTTCTATTTACCATCCCAAGACTAGTTTTACTTAATGGATAAAACTTGAAACTTTGAAATAGACAAATAAAATAGCAGAATTTCCATATAAAAACATTCATATAAAAGGAACAAATAACATATGCATGACTAACAACATCTTTCACACTTTCACCAACACTGGTATTCTTTCTTCTGTGCTTACCTAGGACATAAACACCCAGGGATTTATTTAAATGTAAGAAATATAATATTTTGTTATCTATAGCTGTGTATTTCTTCAGCAGACTTTTACATAACAGATTTGGAAAAATGAGTATACAACACACAAATCACTGAGAAATCCAAAAGTGAATTTAGCCATTCCACATGTAAAATGCTGTAAGAGGTCTAAAATATGTTTGTATACACATGCAAAATATATATGCAAAACAATTTTGTATACATGTTGAGCACACTGTATGTTATTAATGTAAATAATGCCCATCTGTACAGACAATAGATGCACTGAAGTGTAACTGAAGAATAAACATGCAAAAATATTTTCATCTTTCTGTCCTGCAAGAATAAATAAACTTAAGAATACACTACAAGGTAAGGAAAAAGTTTAAAATGAGTCCTTGAACAGAAGTATTATAACCTAGCCATTAGTTCAAGTGAAAAACTATGTCTGCTATTGAGATTATTGTTATTCAAATAACTGGTTCTTTACAGCTCACATGAAATTTGGCATACAGTTCAAAGTATTTTCTCTTCTACGATAGATTAGATCTATGAATGACCTAAGATCTAATCTTACATTTTTCACTTAGAGCAGCTTTCACATTGCAGTAGGATAAAGAAAACATCTTAGGTTAATTACTATTTTTGCAGTTCATTAATTTGAAATATAACCTTTGAAAAGAAGTGATTCCTATATAAAAGGATTTTTATCTGATTTAGTAAATTTATTCCAGGGAAGAATGAAACTGACTCAAAGAAGTCTCTTTGTTGCAAGAACCATTTTGGAATCTCCACCTGTACTGATTTTCCCTATAGACTCGGCTATACTTGAGGGGAAAAAGAAGAAAGGTCATTGGTAGACAAGTTACATAAATTAAAAATAGAAACAGTGTTGTGCTGTATGGTTCTGTAACATTTTATGTATTCTCTTTATCTGCCCATATTTTTATTACACTTCAAATGAGTATAGCCCAAATCAATACTTATAGGATTACATTTCTTGAATATAAAGCTAAACCAAATTAGAATTGATTTCATTCTCTTTCCAAAAAAAGAAAAAGGTATCATGCAGAGATCCATACAGCCAGAAATCACGGTATTGATTTTGGCTGTTATTGTTACAGTTGGTTTCTGAAGCCTGCAACAGGACAACTATCAAGACATGTCACATTTATTTGCAAGCAAATAAAAAAAGTCCTCAAATGAAAGAAAGCTTAGGGGAAAAAAAAAGAACCATGGAGCTGTGCACTGACAATGATACACTATCAGCTTACTCAGAGAAGTTACAGTGGGAATACACACATTGAATTATACATTACACGAATGCACTGATTTATTGTGGTAATAACATCCACCTCATTAAAAGATTCTGCTTTGCTGCAGTTGGAGGGCTCCATATTGTTTACTGCTATAAATTAATGGCAGCGCACAGAAGACTGTAGAACCCTTCTAACAATAGATCTGTAATGACAGTGCTGTATATCACAGCTTCCCCAGCAGCTTCATAATAAAATGGAGACAATGTATTGGGCTAATACATTCTACCAGGCAGGCCCATATTTTTCTGACAATTGCTTCTAAGGATGAGGTGATTCTGGTGTGTTAAACTGCACTGTGAACAGTTAACTAAGCTGAAGCTACAGAATAAAGCATATACAAGGAATATTCAAATAGCCCCTGACTTTTAATTTAGTAAACAAATTAATTGAAATCTTGTAATTATTTCACATTTCAAAATTAACAGGAAATCACAACTGCATACTACATTATCTCCCTTGTGGGTAAACACCAAGAGAAAAAGAATAACTCCAAAACGAAGCTATGTTAGCTGTAGCTGTGAGACCACAAATTTACACTGCTCAACATGGTTTCCCTATGGCTACAGATCACTAAGGGAAGAACAAGCTGAGGAGCTTCATATCTAGAAATTCCAGAATATATTTCCTTTGCAGCACCTCTTTTCAGAGAGGAAAATTAGATATCGGTTTACCAATTAAAAATACTTACTTAAATGGGGGAAAAAAAAGACAAGTAGACACAGAAAAAATTCAACAAGCAAAAACAATGGATGAGATTACAGGAGTCAAGATGAAAAAAAGAAATCACTTATGGCTGCTAAGTTTTCAAACTGTATTGAAAAATGAAGAACGCATATAGCTTTTCAAGTCAGAGTTCATTCAAAAAAGGGTCCGAACTGGAAGAAGAACTGGGGTAAGGAAGATTTTGTTTTCTCTTTTCCAAAAGCATGATCGCTTGATTTTTGACCTGAAGTGGTTGTTATAACAATATGTGCTACAAATATGGAAGTTACAAACTATTCTTAAAAAAAAACCCAAACCCATTTGATACTACTTTTTCAAGTGCTCTCAAATCTAGGAGTACCTCAAAATAAATAAACCTCACATTTTGACCAAGAACTGCATACAATAACTCTGTCTTTGGACCATGCTTGCTTACTTTCTTTGAGACACGAAAAAGAAGAATGGTTTGTTGAAAAATAACTGAGAAAACACACTGACTTTTACCATCTACTGCTGTTAAATATGTCCAGACACTATGGTGTATAGTTATATTTGTCAGTCCTTAATCTTACCCTGTGCCAGACATTGGAACAGTGGCCCATCTTGCTTCCATTTTCAGAAGAGACCCTGTTGAACCCTGGTAATTGTCATAGGTGATTCCCTTCTGAGGAGGACAGAGGGCCCGATCTGCCGACCGGACCCATCCCACAGGGAAGTCTGCTGCCTCCCTGGGGCCCAGGTTAGGGATGTTACGAAGAAACTCCCTGGTCTGGTGCAGCCCTCTGATTATTACCCCTCTTGGTAATGCAGGTTGGCGGGGACGAGATAGCAGAGAGAAGTCCCAAGGCCATCAGAAGGGACTTCAGGGCACAGGGGCGAATGGTTGAGGGATCAGGGGCACAGGTGGTGTTTTCCTCCATCCCATCAGTGGCAGGGGACAGCACTGAAAGGGGCAGGAAAACTCACCTGGTTAAC